ATATACACACACACACACACACATATATACACACACACACATATATACACACACATATATACACACACATATATACACACACATATATACACACACACATACACACAGGGCTATATTGCCGTACACTATATTGCCAAAAGTATTGGGACGCCTGCCTTTACACGCACATGAACTATAAATGGCATCCCAGTCTTAGTCCGTAGGGTTCAATATTGATTTGGCCCACCCTTTGCAGCTATAACAGCTTCAACTCTTCTGGGAAGGCTGTCCGCAAGGTTTAGGACTGTCTATGGGAATGTTTGACCATTCTTCCAGAAGCGCATTTGTGAGGTCAGGCACTGATGTTGGACGAGAAGGCCTGGCTCGCAGTCTCTGCTCTAATTCATCCCAAAGGTGTTCTATGGGGTTGAGGTCAGGACTCTGTGCAGGCCAGTCAAGTTCCTCCACGCCAAACTCGCTTATCCATGTCTTTATGGATCTTGCTTTGTACACTGCTGTGCAGTCATGTTTAAACAGGAAGGGGCCGTCCCCAACCCCTGTAAAACAACCCCACACCATAATCCCCCCTCCACCAAAATTTACACTTGACAAAATGCAGTCAGGCAAGGACCATTCTCTTGGCAACCGCCAAACTTAGACACGTCCATCAGATTGCCAGACAGAGAAGCGTGATTCGTCACTCCAGAGGGAGTCCAGTGGCGGCATCCTTTACACCACTGCATCCAACGCTTTGCATTGCACTTTGTGATGTAAGGCTTGGATGCAGCTGGTCGGCCATGGAAACCCATTCCATGAAGCTCTCTACACAATGTTGTTGTGCCAATCTGAAGGCCACATGAAGTTTGGAGGTCTGTAGCTATTGACTCTGCAGAGATTTGGCGACTTCTGCGCACTGTGCGCTTCAGCATGCGCTTCAGCACGTGGCCTACCACTAAGTGGTATAACAAAGTGGATGCAACTGGGAACAACAGCAACTCAGCCACGAACAGTTGACCGTGGAATATTTAGTAGCAAGGAATTTTCACGGATGAACCTATTGCACAGGTGGTAACCTATCATGGTACCATGCTTGAATTAACTGAGCTCCTGAGAGCGACCCATTCTTTCACAAATGTTTGTAGAAGCAGTCTACATGCCTAGGTGCTTGATTTTATACACCTGTGGCCATGGAGGTGATTGGAACACCTGAATCCAATGATTTGGAGGGGCGTCCCAATACTTTTGGCAATATAGTGTGTGTGTGTGTCCCTACCCACACACACACACACACACACACACACACACACATATATATACATATATACAGGTGAAGCTCGAATAATTAGAATATCGTGCAAAAGTAATTGCAGTAATTGCTGCAAAAGGGGCCCAAACCAAGTACTGAGTACATATGCATGCTTGTACTTTTCAGAGGTCCGATATTGTTCTATGTACAATCCTTGTTTTATTGATTGCATGTAATATTCTACTTTTTTTGAGATTGTGGATTTGGGGTTCTTGGGGTTTTCATGAGCTGTAAGCCATAATCATCACAATTATGACAAATCACGGCTTGAACTATCCTGCTTTGCATGTAATGAGTCTATCTCATATATTAGTTTCACCTTTTAAGTTGCATTAGTGAAATAAATGAACTTTTAGTTTGAAAATAAAGCCTTAGCTGCATTAAGGAATATAGGAAATAATGTTCTTTTAGAACTCGACATTGGTATATCTGTTACATGAAGAAGGCATGCCAATGGATTGTTAGATATAGTTATATTCGTAGTTTGTTTAATATACTTAACCACTTGGGTCCAAAACAGTTTGAGTTTAGGGCAGTGCCAGCAAATATGCAGGCAGGTACCCGCTGCCCCACATCCCCGCCAACATTCTATCGGTTTAGATGGGTGCATCTTATGTATTCTTATGTATAGTACCACCTCGCTAAAAAACGGAATGTTGTATCCGTCACTAACGTTCTAATTGACAAGACAGCATGAGCCCTAAGGATTTGTTGTTTACGTAAGTCAGTCCATTTAATTTGAAGTTCCTGTTCCCACCTCATGAAGTAATCTGGAAATAATTGGGAACGAAGACCAAGAATAATTGCATAAAGTCGTGAGATACCATGTCTCGGATAATCTGATAAAGAGAACAATCTCTCCATTGGCAAGAGTTCTCTGTCAGAGCGTATTGGTTTCGGAAGTTTAGACACGAAATTATGCAATTGTCTATATCTCCATGTATCAAAGGGGGCACACC